TTTGGGACTGGATACCGGTTCTTTGCAACGGCTCCTAATGCTTCCTTCCCTTGTGCGCAGATGGGGGGAAAAGCTCCCCCCCTTCCATTAAACCTGGTGAAGAGGCCCCGGTCACAATCAAACTGGACGAGAAGGAGGGCAGTGAGGCCAGTGACAGCAAAGAGAAGGTGGGACTTGGCAGGACCAGTGATCACCCTGGGGGGGAAAAGTATTCTCCCAAGGTGAGTTTTGTGCCGCGACAGCCCTGGGAACATGGAGCTCCCTGCGCTCACCCAGAGATGCAGCAGTGCTGGCAGCAACCGAACCGCATGTGCACGCTGTCCCGCTCGCCTGTCACCGCAGCCGTGCCTCGAGGCACAGGGCAGTGCAGGTTTTGTGCCTTGCGTCGTCTTGGGGATGTTTGCCTTGGCAGTGGGCAGAGCCACAGTCTCCTGCAGCCGAGATGTTGGTGCCCTGTGCTCTCCTTGGGCCAGAGGCTGGTGGGACCCTGCACCCCCACATCCCAGCCTGCTGGTAACTTTACTGCCTGTCTGTGAGCTCCAGCCAGAGATGGGACCAGGCTTAGGCAGCACAAGCACATCAAGGGCTCCCTGGAGGAGAGCGGGCTAGAAAATGTTTTACTCAAAAGAGAAGTCTTCAAATTTTGTTACAGAGAAGAACCAGGCCCTGGGGTGTTTCTCAGGCATGCACGCAACCCTTCCCCCTGTCCCAGAGAACCGGGTACGTGGGGCTGAGCCGGGCTCGGGAAGAACCCAGCTCCCCTGGCTGATTGATCACCATCTGACTCAGAAGTTCCCCACAATGAACTGATCTCCCTTTTTTGGTGTTTTTTGTTTGTTTTTTTCCCTGGAAAATGTTTTTTGCTTTGATGAATCCTCCCTTTCACAGTGCAGAGGGGAACACCTACCAGCTCACCTGGGCTGCAGCAAGGGTCTGTCTGCTCACGTTTGGTCTGCTTGATCCTGGCAGGAGCTGCTGGCACTGCTGAAGTGCGTGGAGGCAGAGATTGCAAATTACGAGGCCTGTCTGAAGGAAGAGGTGGAGAAGAGGAAGAAATTCAAGGTGTGTTGTTTGATAGCTTGTTCACGTTGCTGATTCAGCTCCCTGAAGGCTTCTGTCTAGGGTATCTATGTCACAGTGGAGGGAGAGTGGTTCAGCTGAGAACAGCAGTGGGGAGCGTTTGGGGTCCCTTTCCCATTACCAAACAGCCCTACGGGGCAGAGCTTCTGCCAGGACAGACTGCAGCCCCTGGGCAGCACTAGTTAGCTTGAGGAGGGTGGTGGAGCAACTGGGCCACAGCTGAACATCAGCACTGACAGGAGGAAGGGGGGAGTCTGTGCCCCAAGGCCTAGCAGGATTCTTCCCCTGCCCACCCTCACCTCTTCCCAGCTGCCCTTTGTGGAAGATGCTGGCATCTGAACTGGGATGGAGACAGTCCCAGTTGTGCACTGGCCTGAGCTGGGCTGGGAGGTCGGTCCCTTCCTGCCTGATCTCCTTGGCCTGTGGGCTGGGCCAGGCACGCTGGTTCTTTGCCCCCTGTTTGCCTTGAGCTCTCCTTTCTCCTTGCCACCCATTTGTGAGCTATTTGTGAATTTGTCATCTCTTTGTAGATCGATGACCAGAGGAGAACCCACAACTATGATGAGTTTATCTGTACCTTCATCTCCATGCTGGCCCAGGAAGGTGAGCTGTGCTGTGCGGCCGAGGGGATGGAGCGTGGGGTTCAGATTCAGCTGGGGAAGCTGCTGCTCTGCTATGCTCAGTGTGGCTGGGAGCCTGGGAAGCTCTCCCTGCCCTGCTCGGTTTCTGCCAGGCCTGGGGCATGAGGTAGTGCTTATTCTGGGGAGCTGCACGTCTCCGCTCTGTCTTTTTGATGTTACAGTCCCAGGAGCTCACTGCTGGGTTTTGGGTGAGAGAGGGAGGGCTGCACTCTGGTGCGGGCAATACCAACACTCCAGTGCGGGGCGTGTCTGTCTCTTCTCCCTGCAGGCATGCTGGCAAGCCTCGTGGAGCAGAACATCTCTGTCCGCAGGCGCCAGGGAGTCAGCATCGGCCGCCTGCACAAGCAGAGGAAGCCAGACCGCCGGAAACGCTCCCGCCCGTACAAAGCCAAGCGTCAGTAGCCTGGGAATCAAGACTGTGAGAAGCAGCAGCTGGGCTTTGTGGCTTTGGGCAGTGCACTTGGATCTATGTTACCCTTTGCCCAAGGAAGAGGGACCACAGCAACAAGCCCTCGGCCGAGGTGGAGCCTGAGGACAAAGAGAAATCGGGTTTTCCTCTGAGCCCCAGTTGTAAAAGGTGGGAACAGGTCTCGAGGGGAGTCCCTGCAGCTGCAGCAGAAGGCAAGCCGGAGTGCCTAGCTGCCTGATTGTGCCACAGCAGCACCCAGATGCCGTGGGCCTGCGTCTGAGCGCTGTGGCTGAGGACTGTGGCAAGAAGGGAAGAGCTCACCTGGCTGGCGGCCGGTCTGGTGTTGTGGGAATGCCAGTGATGCTGATGCGAGGCTGTGCTGGCCGCAGCTGGCTGTGGCTTGTGTCCTTCTGCATCCAGGCCTTCAGCTCTGTGCTTTCCCAGGACACCTGTGTCCATATTTTCTATCTCTCTCCCTTCCCCAAACTTATTTTTGATTCTGACCCACACTTTGGCCGTTGCCGAGCGAGGTGGTTCCTGGACAGAGCCCATTCTACTGCATCCACCCCCTGCTGCACTGCCCAGTTCCAGAGCTGGCTGCTGCGTGGCCAGGCAGGTCCTGCCTTGCCCTGCCCTCACTGCTCTGGGGATGGCAGCACCCCTGCCAGCTCGGCCAGGCTCCTGGGGGGCTGTGGCAGCTCTGTTGCCAGGTGAGGGTGGGCGGGCTCATCCCTGGAGCTGAGCCTTGTGCCCAGCCCTCTGCGGTGGTGCTGCGGGGCGGCGTGTGGCTCTGCTGCCGTGGCTGCTCTCCTAGGGACCAGTCTCTGGCCTTGGCAGTACCTGTGGGTCACACAGGTTGTTCCAGGTCCAGTCCCCAGAGAAACCCCATGAATTATGGACAGACCAAGTTCACAGGGTGGCCTCAGTGCAGCTGGGCACGGCACTGGGGTGGGCACTGGATGTGGAGTCACTTAGTACCCTTGGCGAAGCCTTTTGGTGTGGGGTGCTGTAATGCTCACGGTGGGCTGGGG